GAGACCCGTGCACAGTAGGTGGAACTTGCTTTCAAGCATGCTAAAACCCACTTCAAAGCACCGTGGATTGGTTGCAGAGCACTCCGAAGGACGCGGTGGAAAGGGAGGTGGGTAAGAGGTCAGCGGTTGAGAAGTAAGCGACACATACGAGTTGTGGGAGGGATCTTTGCCGAGGTGGGCAGGGCCTGCGCCGAGGTGGGTGGATCCAAACGAAGAATCTTTGAAATGATTCCAGAGTACTCCAGACACCGGGAAAATAAGGGCTAAGGTCAGCCAGGGGTCACCATTGAGAAGTGTGGGACAAACCCGTTGTGGCTCGCTGTCACTGTTGTCACTGACACAGTCTTTCTTTATATTTATTCATACAAGGCTTTCGAGGTCCCTAAAAAATAGGTTCCAAGCTTCGTTCAAGGAAGCTTTGTGCTTTAAATTAAGACATTATTTTCTCCTTTTCACAACTATGATGAATCAGTCAGTGAAATTGTTCTTCATCAAGGTAATTCTTTCAAGGAAAATGGTCATGCGGCCGCGGAAACTAATGCAGTCACTGAACATGTTAGTGCAAGCGATTCAGGCGAGATGCGCCGACTCGCCGAGGAAATGGAGAAACTTCTATCTGATCGCAGGTTTGCTTTTCTTCAGAAGTGAGGCGTCTCACTATTGTAATTTCAACGATAACGTTGTTATAGAGAAGCGGACGCTCAGGTTTCGCAACTCGAAGCTGATATGAAAGTGAAAGACAGCCAGATTAAGAACCTTCAAGTATGTAATACATTCATGTGTGTATGGATCCTTTTAACTTTTTTCAACTAATCAGTCATCTATAAAGGTTGAGCTCCGAACACTCGAAGTTACGGTAAAGCAGCTGGAGCGACAAAAAGCGGAAGCTGGTCGTCGCTTGGCTGATTTGGATGAGCAGATTAGACAGCTCGAAGCGGCTGCTCTAGCACAAGCAAGGAAAGCGGAAGAAGCGCAGACCAGACTTAACCAACTTGTGGAAGACACTCAGAAGGATGCAGCTCATGCGGAGGTGCTCATTTGAGTTAATATGGAGTAACTGGTAACATGTTGTTCGGCCACTTTTTCAATGTTGAAGTCTTGTTCTGCTTTGTTATTTTTTGATGACTCGTGAGGGGGGATACATCCGCCCATTATGGAGGTAATAGTTTTGCTGATTTCCCTCTGAAATGTATGCGTAGAGTGGGAAAATCAGTAAACGAAAGAACTGCGCGTGACCAAATACGACATCCCTCTCCCCAACGGCCACAGGGCCCATCGCTTTTTCACAACGGTGATGAGCCTCGTATCCGCATGTTTTCAATAAAGAATTCAAAGAAAAACAATGCCGTTTACTGGTACCAAAATTCAGGCTGATCTCCAAGAAATCGCACAACTAAAGGCAGAGCTGGCTCAACTCGAAGTAGAGCGCCTCACACTAACGAATCAGTTGAGCCACGAGCAGAAAGGCATGGAAACAGCAGTCGATAAAATTACTGAGGTTTGTAAAATGATCGTAATTCCTCTGATATGTATTACCCCATCTTCAGTCAAGTTGATCAAGTTGATTGTTCTGCTTAGTGGGGTTTAAGAAGCATTTGTTCGCTGGCTTGCAGAGACGCAGCAACGTTCATGGAAAATTTCTGGTCACTGCAGCGCTGTTTTTTTTTCGCACCATCTACCACCTCCAAGCATTCCAAAATTAGTATTATTATACGACTCTATTTTGTTGAAATTAAGGACGGAAAACTAAACAGTAATAAAATGTGATAGTTATGGATTGTTATCGATGGAAAGTCCTCTTTGAAACGTCTCCTTGGGACCGTTCGAGGCGAATTGTTTAAAGGTACGGGACGATGACACGGTCAACGGGCGCAACGTTGACTATATGAATCACGGGGTGCAACTTGATACACCGGTGGAAAAAAATAGCAGAAAAGTCCGTCAGGAACGTCCTAAATAGCTTCCCACTGACGTCCTGGGAGTTTGCATCGGATGGTCTTAGTTGAAGCTTTTGAAAGAATGAACAGCTTAAATAGTTCTCTAAGAATGGGACACAGTCGACTCACCCTGGCCGCTCATCATAGCAGTGGCGCTGTGCATCAGCTCTCTCCCAAGTCAACTCGTGTGGCAATGCCGCGGCTAGGAGGTGACGCTTCACATTCCTGTAATAGGACTGATCTTACCGCACAGTTCTTTCTACATAAACATGTTCGTTAGATCCATCAAAGAAGAGGAGAGGCGTATCATGATTCCAATTAATGAAGGCGCGTGTTCAGAGAACTGCGGTCCCCAGGTTCTCACTCAGGTTGTTTTCCATGACTTATTTCTGTTTTTCTGAATAGTCATTTTGCGGCTATTGGCTCGTAATTGAATGCTTCTATTCGCAGTGTACGATCGCGGAGTTTCTCTTCAGTTACGGACTGTTCAAGGGTTTTCAAAATGCGAATTCGTGCCTTTTAATCCTGCGGATTTCATTTCCTTGTTTTTAGTTTCGGACAAACTGTACCTTCACCTCCGAAAATAGTCTTTTCCATATGCGAGAAAAACGGATTGGCAGCTGTACAAGTGTAACACCTTCGTCATCTGAAAGCGCGCAGATGTAAGCTGAAGAATAGTGGTACACGGGTGCCATTTGGGACGCCACCCACGCTGTCTTCAATGTGCAGGTCTCCAGATCTCGCAGGGAACCTGCACTGAACTGTGATGATCAACCAGTAGTGGGAAGGCACAGCCTACAGGACAGTGCGGCAGCATGGGCATAGTTAAGGAACGGCACCCGGGTTTCACTATACTACTTCTCATCAGTTATAAAGTAAAGACAATAGTGCACTACTGAAGCTGGCACGCAGTCGTCTCGCATGCGACAAGAGCCTGGATCCCCGGCCGTGAGGAGACAGCATGTTTTTAAAAGGATTTTTATACTTCTATTATTACCAAATATTGTGACAAGATTGATTTCATAAACTCGTTTAGGTGGAGCGAAAACGACAGCGTGACGAAGCGCAGCGTGTTCAACTCAGCGAAGCTATTGCTCATGCAGAGAATGTTTGCAGCGAAATTCAAACTGTGCTGAAGTCGGCGGACCCATCAACGGAGCTTTCCTCCAAGCTAAACCTATTGGAGGACATTTCTAGGAAAGATTTAGTGAGTGAAATTCACTGTACTATCTTTGGTTTTATTTTTATTCCTATTTTTTTCAGTTCAACGATGTCCCTTTTTCCGTGGCTTCCACTTCAAACCATGCTCTCCATCAACCCCCAGATCCTTTCACCGGTGTTCAGACTAGTCAGTAGTGATTTTTATATTTGCTAGAGCGCTTCATTTTTTCAAAGTTTTTCGCTTCAGGCAGTATGCAACACGTGGACCCTTTCGCCCAGACTGACCCCTTTGCCGCTGCTGCCGCATCAGGTAACGTCTTATAGAAAGTTGTTTCAAGAGATTAGGGCGGAGTTCGGTGACGGAAGAGGAGGGGATAAGCCATTTTGCCCTTCACCTGCTTCCCATTGTTAAGTCGAGTCATCAAGGAGTGGTTTTTGGAATCAGGTGAAGCTGTGAAGTGATACCTCTCTAAGTTTGTAGAAACTACTCGTCAATTCTTGCAAGGCTGCGTTCATACTTTGCGTCAGCGTCCACCAACGTTTGCCAGCGTCCACTAGCGTCCAAGACTGGATAGTATGAGGAAGGAGGGTAGCGACAGAATTAGTCGTCCTGAAATTGCGGCGGGTGCAACCGCCCCGTAAATTGCTAGAGCACAGAATTATGAAGTTTTCATGTGCGTTGAAGAAGAGTTGTATGGGGCGGTTGCAAACGCCGCAGTTTTTTGGGAAGCCTGATCCAGCTGTCTGCTACCCTCTTACTTCGTCATATTCTCCACTCATAGACGCTGGTGGACTCGACGTTCGCTAGATCGGTACCTATACTTCCCTAGTCCCTCGGGACACTGGTGGATAGATCAATATCCATGCTTTCCTAGTTGGTGGTGGGCGCTCGTGGGTGGTAGTGGACGCTGCTAGGAGCTAGCGCTCGCTAAACCGATATCTTCACTTTCCTAGTCGCCGACGTTGGCGTAGCTCGGAACGCTGGTGGACGCTGGTGGTCGCTGACACAAAGTATGGACGCCTGCTGTGAAGCAGTGAAGACGAGAATGAGAAACTGAAATAATGTAAGTGTGAAATGACCCCATGTCGCCTGAACTGTGCTGAAATCAGTTTGATGTATACGATCTATGTAAAATGAAAAACAGTTTCAGGGAACTTTGCTGTTCAGTTTCCACAAGATCCATTCGGAGGTACAGCGTCCGTTGGAGGAGCTCATCCGGTAAGCCCTTTGTATTGCGTAACGCTTTCCACTCACAAGGGAATGGTTTGAACTTCCCATGGAACTTTGAATGGAGACCTAGGTACATCGATAGAGCCTCGAATGCTGATTACGAATATGCAGATTAAAAGTGCTACGGGGACCTCCCAGACGAGATCTGGGTGGTCAAAGTTTGAGTTCTGGCTCGTAAGCGCTGCTGATCGATGCCTCGGCAGTGCCACCGTGGCCTCGTGGTAATGGTTTCAAGTCAAACGCATGCGGGTTTGCATCCGGTTGGCGCGAAAATTTTTGCTTCGCTCCGTATAAGAGCTTCAACTCTAATTTTCGAAATTCTTCCGAATTTACGGCCCAGCAGGGCAAGTAGATCAAGTACATCAAGTATACGTACTCGAGTATGGATTGTGGTCATATCTGCCCTCTCTGAACATATTACCCATCCGACAATTCAAAGTTTTAGCGAGAAATTCGTTCATGGGAGACCCCCTGAACACGAATATCACATCCTTCGACGAAAAAACGCTCGTCTGGCCAAATTGCGATTCTGGGCAAAACTTTGAATTGTCGGATGGGTAATATGTTCAGAGAGGGCAGATATGACCAAATCCATACTAGATCGAGTACGTCGTATACTTGATGTACTTGATCTACTTGCCCTGCTGGGCCGTAAATTCGGAAGAATTTCGAAAATTAGAGTTGAAGCTCTTATACGGAGCGAAGCAAAAATTTTCGCGCCAACCGGATGCAAACCCGCATGCGTTTGACTTGAAAGCGAGACCATTACCACGAGGCCACGGTGGCACTGCCGAGGCATCGATCAGCAGCGCTTACGAGCCAGAACTCAAACTTTGACCACCCAGATCTCGTCTGGGAGGTCCCCGTAGCACTTTTAATCTGCATATTCGTAATCAGCATTCGAGGCTCTATCGATGTACCTAGGTCTCCATTCAAAGTTCCATGGGAAGTTCAAACCATTCCCTTGTCAGTCCAGTGCGCTATATGCTGTTTAACGTGTGAAGTGTGTGCTGCCATTGTGTTCCGCCTGGTTTCTGAGACATTGACGCGTTCCAACATAGTGAAAGCATGTCTCTCAATTGATGAAGTCCCTGAGAGCGCTACTGCTTATTATTAAAAGAGAAAAGATTAGTTCATGCGGAAATACACTTGTAAGTGTGGTCCAAAAGGCTCCGATCATTTTTTCAGTTACACTCCTTTTTCAATTTGGTTAACAATTAGCGAACTTAAGGCGAACGTCAATATCGACAGAATTTATATGACTTGATGGTTTGAGACCATGCTAGCTGAAGCTTTTACACCTCAGTCCTGATTCTGATCAACTTTTAAACGCGAACTGATAAGAACTGTGTATTCTTATCAGTTCGCGTTTGAAAACTCTAGAAAAAAGAGCCGTCAGTGGCTTGAAGGAGAAGGGAACGATGATTTCGTTGTCTGCAGAAAACGGGAGCAGATGACCTCGCAGTACGACAGCAAGGCAGAAAGACGAAATGGCTCAAAACGCCCAAAATAGGGCCTTCATTAACACATTGGCGACAGCGCCCTTTTTCGCGTGTCTGCCGCGTGGGACAAAGCAGTTTTTCCCTATTTTGAAGAGTGCGCATAAATGCTAGGGCTTTTATACACCAAAACAATTGAAGAATGATAAGAATTCATTGCAGAAGCTAGTAAAACTTCGCTACTTTCCATTACTTCCAAGATAAACCCGAAATTTCCATAGAATTCTCCCGCCTCATTCACGTGGGACGTGGAAATAGGGTCGCAAAAAAGGAATAATTTCGCGGCAGAGGTGGTAAATGGATTCGATCCAGATCTGCTATTGTTGAAAGTTACCTTATCACATTAGCTATCTGCATGTGGAGCTTCCAGTTCTATAAATACAAAAATTGCTTTTTTTCCTAAGGAAATCACTTTCGTTTGTCTCCTTGGTAAAATACTCTCAATGACACAACTGCATTGTTTACACCTACTGCATATTCTACAATGCCTTCCTCTATAATATGTAGCTGTTGAAAATTTGAAACGTATTCAAATTGGTTTTTTACCCATGCCGCATCCCAGCAGTGGGACGCAATGTCCCACGCGGCAAAAAAGGTGCGTCCCAGCAGTGGGACGCAATGTCGCCAACGTGTTAACCGTCCCAACCAATGTAGGAGTCTACGTCTGAGATAATATCAGTGCTCAAATATCGATGTGAAAAAATTACGGCGATTGCACAGGAAATACGAAAACACATTATTTCAAGCAGTAACGAACGTCGCGGCAGTATCAACAGGGATCCATAACAGAAAAAGGGTCTTATTGATGACATTTTCCTGAAGTGGCTGTCGAAGACGTGCGGGAATCGTGAGGAGAAAGGCCAAAAAAGTAAAACAAGTCTAAAACTCCAAAACGGGCGCTGCTTGCAGAAAAACCTTGCGCACTGCCAAAGATTGGTTTACTAATGAGACTTACCTCCTCAAAAAGAGCTGCGAAGAAGGGAAGCAGTACTAGCCGCAGATTGTGTGTGGAAACAGCGACCTGATGGTGATCAATGGCTGATTGGTGCGGCCATTTGTCGATGTGTCGTTTTGTGGAGTACGAACAGATTGGCATGTTAAGCTTTGCGGGGATGCTTAGAGACCGCATTCGTTCTGAAAACATCATGTAAGATTTACCCACAGCACGGAATTCCTTGTTGATTGGCGTGGTCATCCCACGTGATACGTATCTCAAGTACGCGGCCTAGTCGCCGAAAACGTGGGCTGCAGTATGAACTCAGGGTAACTAATCAGGTATCACTGGTTTAACATTTCCTGTAGCTCCATGGTCACATTAGGGCGTATCACCTAAACTTTTGCCGCTCCTTCCCTTGATAGGTGCACAGCTGGTAAAGAATGAAAGGTGATTTTACAATCATTTCAGAACGCAGCTATGCCTCCTGGTTCGTCGATGGGAGCTGTTAAAAATCCACCACCACGCCCAGCACCACCGAAATCCAGTGCTCGTCAAACTCCCGTCAATGGTGATCCATTTGCAAATACGTAAGCGAAAATTTTTTGTCTAATATTCATTTGCTTTGATAAAATCCCGGAGCCGTTCATTTGAGTAAATTTTTCAGAGATCCCTTCGCTTCGGACACGGTAGCAACGTCTTCAGCAGGAGGATTTGCGGACTTTTCAAACTTCGGAGCGTTTTAATAGTCTTTTGGTGCCATAGGATTCGCATGTACTTAACGTAGTGTCATCCATGCTATGACAAACAGATACTCATTAGTTGTGAAAAAGTAACTGAAATGCTTTTTTTCATGTGCCAATGCTAATTTTTGTAGAGCGGAAGCATAGCGATAATTTATTGATTCTTGTGTTAGTGCGACGTTTCATAGAACGAAGAGGTTCCAGAAATAATTTATTAATTTATTTAATTCTAACTCTGTAGTTTTGCATAGTTTGATAAACGTTCCTAATATAACTAGCGTCTTCTCAACACAAGTTTTCTATTACCATAGTGCGAAACTCACTACTAATTTTGGAAATAGACAATGTAAACGTACTGATGGTGAGTATTCCCAGTATCGTTAATCAGGGCAGTTGATTAGACGGTGAGAGGTCGCAGACGCGGGTGCGGCGCTTCACGACCTCGGCGATCACTGCTTCCAGCCTATTTGCATTTTCTCCCTAATTTTAAGCTCTATTCACTTTTATCCAAGGTAAGTTGTTTTTCGCCTTTATGAAGTATATTGGGACGTGGATTCTTTTTTTGTTTTTGTAATGAAGTGTTTTTGCGATTTTTTTTTTAGGTGTTTGCTTCAACTGTTTGCTTAATTGTTCGCAAAAGTTACCTTGTGAAGACAAGGAACAACTAACCTCAAGAAAAGTGAAATCAAGGAGAAAATGGCTGAATAGGCTGGAAACAGCTGATCGCAGCGGTCGCGACGCGCTCCGCAGCCGCGTCTGCCGCCATATCAACTGCCCGGATGACGACTGTACGTCACGTTATATCCAGTTGCCCTGAAGAAGGTGACTCATCACTCCGTTCCCAAAGCGAACTACATATTCTCGGTAGGGTTTGATCTGTCGAAAATTTTCCTGCGTTTGTCTGTTGAAGTTGCACAATGAATGAGATGAAACAACGACAACAGGAGGAGAGTGATGCCTGTTTGACAGAATCAAAGAACTCGTTAGCGGGTGAGAATCTAGTGAAGGGTCTCTGGGGAAGTGATGGGGGCCTTTGTTGCACGCGGTGGAGTCTGAGCGACAGCGGCCCTGGTCATACTAGGTCAGACTCCACTGTGCACAACAGGTGCTATGGATTTCACGTCATAGAATGTATCTCACAGTTCTGCAAGTTAAGACGCTATGGTTTTTCAACAAGCTGTGATTTTATGTAAATCTCGGAGTGTTGGATATTCCCAGATGTAAAAGAAGAGCACAGACCTGTTTACAAGAAAAATGAGCTATCTGCAGAAAAGTCAGCGCATTTAAATTCGACATAATGGAATCTTATTTCGCACATGGCTCAAATTAACAGAATTTCGCGTGCAGCAGTCTGGTACATCAAATTAGCCTCTTCTGGCGCGGGTCTGCAGACAGGATACAGCATCGTGACATGTGAAATTGTAGTGTGGACGCCCTCCCCCTCCGAGAGAGGGTGTCAGTCGACCCCCACCTAAATGATAAATGAGGGTCTCGGTACGCCCCTCCCCCATTCCCCCACACCTACCCACCAATTGTTTTTCACCCAAAAATTTTCCTTCGAGCGGGTGGGGGAGGGGTATATAGTACACATGAAACAGGCAAAGTCGCGCGAAAAGTCAACAACCGGGGAAAATTCTTTCCCAACGTAGCAAACTTCTCTAGAACGCACATACGACCCTCTCCCTTCCATTGACCAACTACGACTCTCCTCCCCAGCCGAGAATTACAACCTCCACTTTGTGGGCGCTGTTTGTCGACGAGGGGGCATTTTGTACTATCATTGCTTCCTCAGTTCCGGTTTACATGTCTCAC